GTATGTAAATCCTGGAACCACCACACATGCTTATCAACTGATGAATGGATAGAGAAGGTTTTTTTTTTTTTTTTTTTTTTTTAATCCTGTGGATGCCTTGGTTACTTTTCTCTTGTTGCTGAGACAAAATACCTGATGCGAAGGATTAAGGAAGGGAAGGTTTTATTTACCTCACAGTTTGTGGAGGTTTCAGGCCATACTTGGCTGGCTCCAAGGCAGAGTGGCACATGGCAGAGGGCAAATGTTCATGGCAGCAGAAAATAGCAAAAAGCAGTAAGAGCAAAAGGGAGAGACAAGCCTCTTTCCCTCCCTTATACTGTAAGCAGGCTGCCCCCACTCAGGGGGTGTGTAGCACTCACACCATCTCCATGCCCTCCTCTTGCACAGGCTCAGGATGAATACAAAGTAAGGACTCTGGCCCCCTGCTTTGTCACCTAAACTTCTCAAATTGACACAATGAACAACAAACCAGAGCATAAGGGCATGTCCTTTTCACTCCAGGATGCAGAACTGCTGAGTCACTTAGCCAAACCTCTAGACTCCTCAGGTTGACACAATGTATCAACCATAACAAGGAAGTACTACACTATCATAAAGAAGAATAAGCTTGAGCCATTTTCTAGGATGCCCTTTGAGACCACACTCTTAAGTAAAATAAATTGGACACACATGTTTAATTACCACATTGTTTCTCTGGTGTAAGAAACTGAAAGTGTAAATAAGGAGCAAAATGTATAATAGATATTGGGTAAGCTACATCCCCTTTTTATTTATTTTTTATTTGCACATTTTACATATACATAGTGATAACATATATCATAGGGAATTTGTATCTGCACATGATGTATCTTGCTTCTTCATTTTTTCCCACTCTGCTCCACTGCTCTCAACCCTCCTCAAGTTGACACATTTTTCTTTTGAAAAAGAAAGAAAGAGAAAAGGATAAAGAATGCCAAACTAGATTAAACTTGCCAAGACAACCCTTATCAAGACCTGAATCTACTGGCACCTCTGACCTTGACTTCCCAGCCTGTAGAATTGTGAGAATGTGCACTCCTAAAGACACTTGTCTGTATCGTTTTGCTAACAGCAGACCCAGCTGACCAAGACCCAGCAGCACAGAAACTGACTAGTCTACCACACAAAAGGAGTTCTCCTGAGTGCTGGGATTACAGGGTATCCATTTACCTAGAAAATGTCTCAAGTTTATTCTTCTTTATGACAGAGTAGTAGTCCATTGTTATAGTTGATACATTGTGTAAACTTGAGGGGGGTGTAGCTCTGCATTAAGGCCTTGTGTGCAATCTTTAATACAGCAATAAATAAACAAATAAATAACAGAATTCACTGAAGCTTATGGCTCCAGCAAGATCTGTGTCATGTAAGTCAGTCTTGGCTATGATTTCAGGGTGGTTATTTCCTTTACATCCTATATCTTTAATGGATCTAAGAAAGGTTGTTGATTTTTATTTTGTTGAATATTTTTCTAGTTATGAGGATTGGAGTGAAGGCTTCCAATCTTTTTATATCTCACAGATAAAACAAAGAGATCAGTATCATTTTTATCCAAATCAGCCACAAAAATGTTATACACACTGAAATGCCATTTATAATCCCCTACAGAAAACATCCACATGGCTAAACTTAGCCTCATTAAATAGTGTAGGAAGCATGAGAGAAATCAGGTCCAGAAAAGCCAGTGTAACTGAGTGGGAGTAAGTGATTATGTCTGGGAAAGAGAACTCCTTTTGTGTGATAGACTAGTCAGTTTCTGTGCTGCTGGGTCTTGGTCAGCTGGGTCTGCTGTTAGCAAAACGATACAGACAAGTGTCTTTAGGAGTGCACATTCTCACAATTCTACAGGATGGGAAGTCAAGGTCAGAGGTGCCAGTAGATTCAGGTCTTGATGAGGGTTGTCTTGGCAAGTTTAATCTAGTTTGGCATTCTTTATCCTTTTCTCTTTCTTTCTTTTTTGAGACAGAGTCTCGCTATGCAGTTCACTTTGGCCTTGAGCTCACTTGTAGCCCAGGCTGGTCTCGAACTCACAATGATCCTCCTGCCTCAGCCTCCTGAGTGCTGGGATTACAGGCGTGCGCCACCACGCCTGGCTCTGAAGGCTGTCTTCTTGGCTTCCAGGCTGCTGTGTGGTCAGCGGGCCTTCCTCTCTGGGTGTGAGAGCACGGACACCTCTCCTTCCTCTTACCCCACCCTTACGAGCTAATGTGAACCTCTTTACTTCCCAAGGCCCCACCTCCTAATAGCATCCCTTGGAGATTAGGGCTTCAGCATCTGATGACCGCGAGGACACAGTGTATCACATACTGTCATCGTTAGAGTGTTAATGCTAAATCAAGTGTTCTAAAACTAAAAACCTGTGTACCCAATACTCTTTAGTCACTCAGAATATAACTCAGAGCCGGACTGAAGCTGTGTGCCTTGTTGGACCTCTCTAGCAGGCGGAGAGAGAAAGGGGCAAGAGGACAGCACACTGTATCAGAAGCGAGGACCGCGACTCTCAGACTGGCAGGGTTTCCCGCCGCCGCCTCTTCCTTTAGGGACCGTATTTCCCAGGGTCCCTTGCGGTAGGGACCAGGCTATTTCCGCCGCGGACCGGAAGTTGGGCCTGGCAATTCGGAAGGTCCCGAGGAGGGACACCTGGAAGGAGCCGGGCGGCGGCGCTGTCCTGGTCTGAGAGAGTGCAGGGAAGGTGGGGCCGGCCGGGAGGCAGGGCGATGTGGGCGGCCGCGCGAGTCCCCACGGTTGCGCGTGAGGACGGGCGGGCCGCCGGGAAGGTCCTGCCCGGCGAGGCGGAGCTCGACGCGGTGTGAGACCCCGACCCTGGGCGCCGAGCACGTGACGCACGGGTTGGGCGCGGCCGGAAGTGGAATTGCGGCTCGGGGTGCTGTCCTGGGAGCCGAGTGCTGGACCAGGTACCGAGCCTCCAAGTGGACCCTGGGGTCGGAGCTGGAGGGTCGCCCTGGACCGCAGTGTGGAGCTGAGTTCAGGAAGGAGCTCTGGCTTGGCGGGGTCCGGCCACCGGGCCCTCCCAACCCACTTCCAGGGCCTTGGGCATCCCCTCGGAGAGAGCGCGCCCCCTAGGGCATTTCTCCTGCTGCGTGCTGCTCTTTAAACACCTCCGCTTTAGTGTTTACTTGTCACGTTCCATCTTGTCACCTTGAGATGGGACTCGGAACAGTCACAGCTTCCTCCAGAAGCGGCCAGGGATTCCATTCTTTGTATGGGTAATCACCTTCTAGTTAATGCAAGAAAACAGCCCCTTTTCTGCAATTTTTCTAGTCATTGAAGAGGGAGAAGAATTGCTGTCCATGCCTATATTGTTTTTTGCTTGCTTTACTGCGTGCAATCGAATAGATCATGCTTAGTAAGTCCTTTCTCTGTGCCAGATACAGATCTAAGACTTTTTGGAAGCATTAACTGTAACCCGTACCACATTATGAATTACAAGGGTGATTGAATATGGTGAATATTTAAATTATAAAATTGTTACTGTAAAAGAGACATTGATTTTAGACCCCCTCAAAATACTACCCCTCCCTTCAACCACACATATCCCATCATTCTTGACACTTTCTGAAGCAGTTCTGGGAGTCCTCTTTTGTGGCTGTCTTTAATTGTACGGTTCTGGCTGCCTCTGTGTCCTCTTGGTTACCTTGTAGTAAACATATGTGTGTGTATTTTTTTTTTAACTAAAACACAGAAAAAAAGTAATCACTAGTAAGTGGAAGAACCAGGATCCAGATCCAGGACAGGATGTCTCCAGAATCTCCTTCAGTACAAACTGTCATGTAATGCTGAATGCCTGCCCAAGGTAGGTGTTCTTAAACAACTTTGGATAGTTGAAGAAACCAACTCTGAGATGGTTAAATAACTTCAAGAGTTCAGATCCTGTTATCTCCATTGAGCAAGGTTGGGGCTTTCTTAAACTTTATAACTCTCAATATGTGTTCCTTTTTTTTTTTTTTTTAAATGAGACAAGGTCTCATTATGTAGTTCACACTGGCCTTGAGCTCACCATGTAGCCCAGGCTGGCCTCGAACTTGCAGTGATCCTCCTGCCTCAGCCTCACAAGTGCTGGGATTGCAGGCATGCACCACTATGCCCAAATATGTGTTTGTTTTTATTATCATAACTATAATATTGTTTGAAAAGTTGGTGGAATTTGGAGGAAAGAAGTAAAAATTAATTAATCCTCTTCTGTATTAAAAGAAATGGCTTGGAGGGGGTGGTAGTCAAGGGACTTAATGAAAATGGTAATTTGTCAGAAAGCAAAGTAATTGGGTCTCATGACAAATTTTTGGTCCATTTTTCTGTAATCAATAGGTACCATTTGTTGTATCAAAGGTAAGACTTCTCCATGCATGATGGGATTCTCCAAGAAATTCATCTCTTTGAGTCTTTACACATCCTGCTCTGTAGCATATGGGGCATATTTTCTGCTGTTTGCTTAGGCTAATAACTTGGGTGGTGGAGTCAAACAGATGTAGGTTGATGACTTTTTCTCATTGTTACACACTGTGATTTATGCAAAAGTTTTCACCTCCCAGAGATTTTATTTGTAAAATGGTGACAATATTCCCTGCTTTGTTAGAAGATTGTGATTAAAAGAGATTCATACATATGTAAATATATAATATATACAACATACCTCATACATCACTGATGCTGAATGAGTGACTCTGTGAGCCATTGTGTTTAGCCTGCAAACCTAGAGCAGAGGGAGATCCCAGTTGTAAGTTATAGGTCTCCCAGTGAATACTTGGTATGTGGGGGTCAAGGGGAGATAAAAAATGGAAGCGAGGTGAGAGGGTTTGTATGTTGTAATTTTGTATGTTGGTCTTATAATTCCTTTGTCTTCCTTCAGCTCTGCACTCTCAGGGTAGCATTCTTCTCCACATGAAGAGCAAGGAAGAGGTGGAGTTGACAGGGATTGAACTGGTTGAAGCCATGTCCCTGGTGAGTGAGTTAGTATTTCTCCCCACTAGAAGTCT